AATCCATGTCACACGGAACTTCCGTCTCCGCACTCTCCTCCTCTCCATTATCCATTTCCATCCTGTCATAAAACCTCGCTCCCCGCTCCCATCTCTGCATATGATTACGAACAAAGAATCGCTACTCGCGAATTACGTTCCCTTCGGGGAATGGCAGACGACTAAACTTATCTATAGTGAGTCTCCCACTTTCATCGCACGTCTCAGGCGAAGCTGGGTTGCTGATTCTCTTCACCTCTTCTCGTTCTCTGCGTTTCCCCTCGGTCTCGCTTAATAGCCCAAATTGTGAGCCGACTCTCTAAGATACATCAGCATGCGTTTAAGACCCTCTCGCTGATTTTTCCCTTCATAGTATGATGCACTATCTTTTCATCCGAAGCTTGAACGCCTAATAGTCAACGGGACGGAACTGACGCTCAGATCTGGCTTGATCTAGCCTCTTCTTAGTCAATATCGACAGAGGGGGGTCGATACCTCTTAGGAAATGTGAGTATGTTCCGTCCATTTGTCGCACTGCGCAATCATACCTTTGGTATTCATCCCCGCACCTGATCCCATTCACGATTTCCTATTTTACTATTGCGCCAATGATTATACCTAAAAACCAAGACAAGCATATGTAGGACCCCTTGGGGACTGACTACAAAGTTTTTATTTCCAACTGCTGTATGACGGCTCTTATCTTCTTTCTCCACTTCCTCTGCTGCCGTGGCCTGCGCAGTAAAGGGCAACAGAGCTGATATCAGTGACCTGATCATAGCCGCAAGATGCCTCCGCAGCCTGCCCATGGCTTTTCGAGGTATGCGGGCCTCAGCCATCGGAGCAAACAGCCCGTTAGCAAGGCCCTCCTCGAGTGAGTTGTTGCAACACACGCATGCGAGTGCCGCTTACCGACATTGTGTTTTGCTAGTTCTGTCCCATCTATGGACAAGATTTCATATTATGATACCCCCACCTCCCCCTCTTCGTCCACTGATTCCGAAGACAGCTTTGTGCCCGCACCTCGCAATATTCTCTCCAACTCGGGCAACAAACTCGATCCGTCAGCTCGTTTCATGCGCCGCGGTAAGATGTATGCTTGGGGACCTCAATGCGAGGACCTCAAGGCCGACGCTCTTGCACGCAAACGGCTCAAACTCTGTCTTCAGCAACTGCTGCCGGACGCTGCCGCCGAAGTCGGTGCTCAACCTCCTCAGAATATCCTCGACGCCGGAAAGCAGAAGAAGACGCGAAAGCGAAAGAGAGCCCACGATGATGATCTCCTACTGCCTCACCTTCGAAGCCCCTCGCCCCCTGTGTCCATCGAGCAGCTTACTCCTCTGCTCGCTCTTCCTCGCACATACCTTGATATCCTCACCAGCCCCTCGATGAGGCATACTCTCGGGGACGATAGCATGGAGACTGGTCTGCAGCGAACGGCAGGAGAATTGCTCGAGGGCGAAAAGCCATTGATGCAGGCACTGGGTCGACTGAAGGACATCGTTAGACTCCTGAGTCGCGATGTCGCTGTCGCCCCTTCACATACCAAAGCGGCTGCCGCTGAGGTCATGGGCGAAGTCGATACCGAAGCTGGTCTGTCCGAGATGAAAGAGTCACTTGCTGCAGGCAATCACAGAGACTCTTCTCTCATCCCACCTCTCCCCCACATATCCGATACCGATAACTTGTGGCGGGTTACTCAGGAGCTCCTGGGTCCAGCACCGGGCAGTTCACATAGTCTTCCTGCGCCTTCGATATCGTATTCCGCCAGTGAACCAGACAAGATCGCTCCTCCGCCGCCATCTACTTCTGAGAACCCCGTCACCCAACCCGTTCCCACCCCCTTACAACGCTTGTTTACCTGTCCTGACGGTATCACGCTCCATGCGACCCCTCACCCTCTACATCCGGGCTTGAGGTATCCCAAAGATCACTCTTTACATCCTGCCAATATCAGGTACAATCTCGATATGACGAACCAGTGCCGAGCGGTCGATGACGCTTTGGAGAGAATAGCGGAACTTTTGGCCGATTGTAATGAGTACAAAGAGAGATTGGAAGAGGCCAGAGATAGAGTGGCTGATGTCGCTCGAGCGAGGAAGAAGGTCTGGAAAGTCGTCAAGGAGAGAGGTGGCTGGGAACTGGACAGGAAAGAAGCTGGTAAAGAAGTATAAGACAAACCAATCATCAAAGAAATATACATCAGTTGTATCGTATAACAAATAATCATTGTGAAACCATGAAATGGAGCACGTTGTAGCCAACCGTAGATCAATACATCAAAATAGAAACGATCATGATATGAATTGTTGATTGTATCCGTCCGTGATATTCCTCCCTCTCGATGAGCAGTCACAGTATAGCAGGTCCACTTGCAGGTTGCATGACTCGTAGACTACAGATACAGTTCAGATGAGATATCACGGATCAAAGACATCCTCTGGTGCACGAATAGCGGCACAGAACTAGAAACCTGTAGAGGAGAGAATGAGGAGCGGACAAGTTGATTAGCGTGCGACTCGGTGCTAGCTATCGGAGACACCACTCACCATACTTCGTACCGGCCATACGCATAGACTTCTTGTTGGCGGCAATGCGATCCTCGAGCTCTTCTCGCTGCGTGTAAGCTGTATTGAGCAGCGAGGTGAGTTGGTGTCGTTGCGACGCGAGTCCTTTGACTTGTCCTGTGGGCTGTGGGATGAATGCAAGATCGGTAGGGAGCATGTAAGTATCTGGTTGCAAGATATTGCTTAGAGTCGAGGGAATCTAGCACTCTTGCTCTCCCCGCCAACGCTCACTCAAATGCGCGTGCCGGCGATAGAGGGAGACAAGAGACCGAGGGAGGGAGGGAGTCCATAAACTTGTGATTTCCCTCTGCAGCGCACTCACCTTGTACTCGAACGAACTCTCAGAGACTCTTGGCCTCTTGGCCATCTGCCTCCTCTCCTCTTCCCTTCTTGCATCTTCGACGCCCTTAAAAGCGTCCACCTCTACAACACCGCCATATCGACCCGAATCAAACTCTTTCCAATGTTTGCCCACTCTTCCGTCGTCCTGCTCTTCCTCGTCTTCTCCCACACCGGTTCCAGACGTTGAGGTGGAGCCGAAGAATGAGGCGTAGTATGCTGGATCATATGCTCTCCATTCACCCGACGGGAGTTGGTAGTACCCGGGATAAGGGTCGGAAGCAGTTGGTGCTGGCGGTACGTAGTCTGGCGCGAGGGGAGCAGAGGAGATGGAGGGCGGTTTGATGCTTGTTGAAGAGGAAGATATCGAGGGGGCTGGGATGGTCGAGGATGAAGCTACGGGTGGTTTGTCGATGCACAGTGAAGACAGGCAGTCAGCTTAGGCCAGTCGCTCTCGCCATCCAGCATTGCGCCCCTGGTGTCGAGACTTGCATGATGCTATGCGATGTGGAATTTTCGCATGGCGTACAGGCGCCGCGCCGCACTCACCCAAACCAAACAGATCCAAGCTCTCCTCACTGTCAGTCTCCTTCTCCTTCCGCTTCCTCGCCAGGGAAGGCGGCACTAATCCTGCACTGGCAGCACCACTGCCTCCTGTAGATCCATCCTCACCATCGTTATCATCATCGGAATCCTGGTCTTGCTTGCTCGCGGCGACTTTCGCGTTTGTACTCGCTAAAAGAGGCTTGAAAGCTGCTGGTTTCGGGTTGCCCGAGGAAGATGAGGCCGAGCCCGAAGGTTTGCTGATGTGAATTCTGGAGCCTGAACCAGAGCTCGAGCCGAGTGCGGCGGCAGATGACGATGATTTCGGTTGGGGCAGTTTACGTTTGGGAGGTGGGAGCATACCCAGGAGCGATGAACTGTATCGACGGACACAGGGACGTCAGTCAATATACGAGAGAAATCTGATGAGTATAGGCCACTCGATACCCCGCCATGAAGAGGATGAAAATGCATTCGCCACTGATCGCTCTACCATTCTACAACCACTGTCCAACTGTAACAGTGTTGAGGGATGAAGAAGCTGCTTCAGATGCAGCAAGACAAGGTAAGGCTGAGAAGACCGACTGACACTCACCCGCCTTTCCCGCCCGCAATCTTGCTCTTCACCGGCTCTCCATTTCTCTCTTCCTCTCCGCTTCCGATCGCTCCCTCCTTAGCCTCATCTCTATCCCCGTCGTCAGCAGCGCTCTTTAAAGATGATCTCGGCAGATCGAGAGTGATCTTGATGGGTTTCTTGGCTTTCGCCGCTGTCTTCGTTGGCACTGCACTAGACCTCGATGCTGAAGCTGCTGACGAAGCTGAAGCTACAGGTCCTCGAGATGGAGCTGGAGCTGAAGCCGGAGCTGGGGCAGGAGATTCGACGTCTGAGCCATCATCAGAGTCTGAGGCGTAGTTGGCTAGCAGCATGATCTGGAAAAGGCGAGCGAGAGCGTATGAGCGATCAATGTGGATGCCAATCCGAGCGTGCGAATGAGTACGGTGATGCAAACTGCAGATTCGGAAAGTGTAATTGATAGATTGATGGGATGGAAGAATGCAATGAGAAGAACGAGATGAAAGTTAGACCTAGGTGAAATTGTTGACGAGGTGGTGACGTCTGATTTGCGCTTCTGCTTTGGGCGGGCAGCAGTGCACTGTGCATATATGAATATATACACACATCACCATAGCTCACATTGTTGATCGCGATATCACGCTAGTTTCCCCTCGTTACATGAGTGACTCGAGCATAGTTCATCACAGTAAGTGTGCATACCCAGCTCGCATCCCGATCAGTAGGACCAGAAGCATATATGCCACCCATAAACTGGGCTCATGAAGCCTCGTGATGTCCTGAGACCATTCCGCTCTTAGAACACTGAAATCCCTCGTTCTCCATCGCCTGATCTCCTAGCTCCTTCCAGCTGATGCTATCTGCTTCAGAATGCCCGCGAATATACATGGGTAGATAGGATGAATTGCTAAGACCGCTCGCGAAAGGCGAGGATCCACGCTGAAGATCATAAAGGGTATATATTTTGTTTCTAAATCCTGCATCCAACAGATGATCTCGGCGAGATGATGGAGCGGTCTAACATGCTGTCTTAAGGAGACGAGTTCTCTTCAAAGAATAACATCCTCGGCAGTCCTTCGGGGCCTGGGTTCGAATCCCAGTCTCGTCAATCTTTTTCTACTGGCGCCTCCGGGAGCAGCCAGGGCGCATCTGGCTTTCGTTTTTGCAAGTCGGAAGTGAGGCTCGCTTCGACGAGGAGGAGAACGAGTCCCTGGGGGTTCGCTAAGCTCCCTTTCCCTTGGATCGATCCGTCGACTTCGAGAAGAAAGAAGAGCTTTCATCAATCGGGCGAGATGATGGAGTGGTCTAACATGCTGTCTTAAGGAGAAGTGAAGCGTTCTGGCTTTCGAGCTAGAACACCTTTCCCCCTAATCATCGAGCACAGAGCGCCCTTCTCCCTTGGTCTGAATCGAGTCTCTTCGACTCGGATCTTCGGGGGAGGTCGCTGCTTTGGTCGATCCGTACTATCCTCGGCAGTCCTTCGGGGCCTGGGTTCGAATCCCAGTTTCGTCATGCTTCTCTTTTGCCAATCTCTTGCGAGGAAATCAAGAGAATGCATCGCGAAACCATGAAGAAAGACGTGGACAAAGATCACAAAGATCGTTGGTTGGGTGCGGATGTATCGTTTTTGGCGGTGACTAATCCCTCTGTGTGTGTTTGGACGATCTGTGTGAGTCTGTATTGCCTAAAGGTAGAGGTCGGGAAGGGGGGATCCGTGCATCGAGGTGTGTTTTGATGGTGATGACGGTGTAAAAGGTGGTCTGTGCTGGAATTTTAGGAACACACATGATCCGCCCGAGACGCGCATGGATGAGGAGAGCAGTGCAGGAGAAGTCATGTGATCGGTAAACGGGCTTAGCCGGGATGATCACTTGATACTCGATGCGATGCCATCAAAGCCGCAACATGAAACATGATACATGATACATACAAGGATAGATATGATTGATATACGTATCGATCGATGCTCGCTCACGTTGCCTTCTCTCATCACCTTTGCATAGCTCTTGCGCTGAACTACAGCGATAACAGCAAAGCAAGTAGTCGACCCGCGAGTGGAAGGTATTTCGCAAGCCGGCATATCTGACAGCGAATAATTTAGAGCTGTAGACCAGATTCCCTAACCATTCCACTCAACGTATTGAGAGGGGAAACAAGCGGAAAAGACGATAGACAATCTGCCTCACCGACACACGCTCCTTTACCCGAACTCGCAATGATACGGTTACCGCTGTTCTCTTCGATCCGAAGCTCGTTCCTTTCCGGCTCGTCGTTCGTCGGACCGTCTTCTCTAGCTGGCGTGGGCGGCATCGGCTCCCTGGGGAAGTGGTATTCGTCTTACAATGCAGCTGTAGCTGGTCTGACGGAAGCTCAGGAGGAGGTACGTCAATTCAGTTCACTCTGGCTCAGCTCAGATCAGAGCAGATCAGAGCAGAACAGATCAGAACAGCCTCCCCGTGTCAGCCGATGATCGAATGTCTCGCACTGACGGGCTCCACTCGTGAGCGGGTTACCAGTTCCGTCATGTGGTACACAATTTCGCTCAGAAGGAGATCGCTCCTAGAGCTGCTGAAATCGACAGGACCAACCAGCTTCCGCCTGTGAGTGCGATGAGGGAACGTGCTCAGCTGAGGCCGGAGATGGGGAATTTTCACGTATGCGCCATCACTCAGTCCTAGCGCGTAGCTCGGTTGACCATGCTATGCCCAGACTGAGCTGTTACTGTCGAGGTGAAGGTGAACAACAGCTGACGGTTGAAGTCGGTACGTTTAGGATATTTTCCCCAAGCTAGGCGAGATGGGCCTGCTGGGAGTGACTGTTCCTGAGAAATGGGGAGGCTTAGGCTTGGGATATCTGGAACATACTATAGCAATGGAAGGTGAGCTAGGCATTCCCTCAGGCAGCATGGGCACATGCTCAATCATACCGCTTTCGAGGGGAAGAGCATCCTTTGTGGAGGAGAGACGATGGCTTACGAAGTTGATGATGCGCAGAGCTGAGTAGAGCATCAGCGAGCATTGCCTTGAGCTACGGAGTGAGTCATCTGCCTCCTGTTCTTTGCCAAGATGACATAAGGCAAGAACCGTTTGCTCAAGTGGCTCGGCTCCTCTCCTCTCGTTAGGCGCACTCAAATCTCCTGGTCAATCAGCTGGTCAGATGGGGCAGTGAGTCGGCTCGGTCCTCTCCAACAGCATCTGGTTACCGTCTGTTTCGTCCAGTCCTTCTTGGGACGATCACTTTGAAGCGATCCCAGTGCATTACTCGGCGGCGCTGACGGCATGCGTGTCTGTTGGCTTTGTCGTATAACAGCGGACAGACAACTGGAGAAGTATCTTCCCCCTTTACTCACGGGCGAGCATATCGGCTCCCTGGCAATGTCGGAGCCTAACGCAGGGTCGGACGTTGTTTCGATGCGCACGAAGGCTGTTCGTAAAGATGACGGCAGCTGGATCATGAACGGCTCAAAATGCTGGTGAGTGTCCAGCCAGACCTCCCCGAAATAGTAGGAAACAGCCTCAGGCTGTCTCCCGCTCCGTGGTATCCACGCAAAGTGAGATTTGGCTGAATTGTCGATATTCAGGATCACCAACGCACCTGTATCCTCGACGTTCCTAATCTACGCCAAATCCGATACCTCAGTAGCGCCTAGTAAAGGCATGACGGCATTCCTCGTGGAGAAAGGTTGGAAAGGATTTGAAGTGGGGGAGAAGCTGGACAAGTTTGGCGTGAGTGCGGGCATTGAACCGAAGTGTGAAACCACGACGCCGATCCCCTCCGTCGTGTGACAGCGTGGAGCGGGTGAGGGGACTGTTAGGGTTTTCCTGTAAATGGAACCATAGAATCACAATCCTATGCCAGGAGAGTGAAGCTGATGGACAACGCCCAACTCAGATGCGAGGCTCTCCGACTGCCGAACTGTTCTTCGACAACGTCGAAATACCTGAGGGTGAGCCCTTTGATACTTTTCCACATCCCTCTATCGTTTAGGAATCCAACTGTAGTACTGAATCCTTTCCGGCTCCCAGAGAACGTTCTCGGCAAAGCCGGCAAAGGCGCCTCTGTCCTCATGTCGGGCTTGGATCTCGAAAGGCTGGTCCTCAGTGGCGGACCATTGGGGTGAGCGATTTCACGCAGATCGTTCATGTTCGTTTTCGGCTAATTGTACCTGGCAGCATCATGCAAGCGGCGCTGGATCTCGCCCTCGATTACACACACGAGCGAAAGCAGTTTGACAAGAAGATCGGAACGTTCCAGTTGATGCAGGGGAAGCTGGCCGGTGAGTCTGACCATGCTAGGGCACCTAAGCTACAAAGAGAAGTGGGAAGACATGCTTTAGTCGTTTGCTGAGAACACTCCCACTGTCAGACATGTACACCAAGCTCAGTGCCTCACGAGCGTATGTGTACGCCGTAGCGAGAGCATGCGATGCTAGCAAGGTGTCCAGGAAGGTGAGGGCGGCGTCGTCCCTGTATGAGAGCGGAAATCTGGCGCTGATCGCTCGCATCTGTAGGATTGTGCCGGTGCTATCCTCTATTCCTCTGATCGAGCCGTCGAGGTCGCCTTGGATGCCCAGCAGTGTTTGGTAAGTTGTCGAATGGCTGAGGGAGATGGGTATCATGCTGATGTGTATCTGGTATTGTAGGGAGGTAACGGATACATCAATGGTGCGTTTGGGCTGTTTGGCTGATGATCTCGCTCCCAGAGACGGCTGCGAAATCTGACTGTTATCGTGTTGCTGATTGGCTCTTGCAGATTACGATGCCGGACGCCTGCTGCGTGACTCTAGACTGTACACCGTCGGCGCGGGTACACAGGAGATCAGACGGATGTTGATCGGGCGCGAATTTAATGTGGCATACGATGAGGCTGAAGGCAAGGGTATCGCTCAATAAATGAGGCGAGCGATTTAAGAGTTGAAGTTGAGGAGGTTCGACGACCAGAAGGTTTCAGGACGTTACGATTTCGATCGCGTATACAGTACAGTGACTCTTCTTATGTTGTAAGCCTGTGTGAGTTTCTTACCCTGTTTAAAGGGTGTTTGATAATCGGTCAAGCTGCCAGTAGGCCCATCGTTCACGGTTGGTGAGATGTTTTTCTTCGTCTTATAACTCTTCACTTTGCTCACGGGTACAGAGAGTCGTCTCACAGTGTTGTTTAGGCACCCAGCATCAGTGACAGGAACCAAGGTGGACGGACAGGTGGAGTATCACAGCTCCTCCGATTCCGATTGAAACATCACAGAATATGTAAAGTACGCTTAATGTCTTGTAGACAGATACACATGACGACGTGTCGTGCCACTTCGCGTGATTCAGCTATTCGGACTTTTGGATAAGCACGATACATTGAGTGATCAGTAGTATAACAGAAAGCAGTATCCGTCCCGTAAGCGTGTCCCATCGGTAGACTGAGACCGTTTACAGCGATCGATCAGTCGATCAGTATTGCATGGGGTCGAGTCGGGTTGAGTTGTTCTAATGGCTATGGGCCATGTGCCATGTCCCGCAGATTCGGATTTGCGGAAGGATCTCGGTTGCTAATGTCACATCATATGATCCGAGCAAGTTGCGCCATCGTGCGATTCTATCTTCGGATCGAGTTTCAGTATGAGAGGGAGAGGGAATTCGGATTACTCCAGCTGGGTGTACGGACCTATGTTAATGATAAAATTACAGTCTGAGAAATCAAGCATACGTGCGTGGTACGACGATAATTTGATTCTGACTCTGATCCTGATCCCATTCGAATTGCTTTGTATTGTGCCAAGTTAGCTCGATAGGGATAAAGTTAACTTACTGCAGAGGAGCGAACGAAAAGTATGGCATGATCGATGGCGACAACGAGCATTCTTCGGAATTCAATTTCATCTCATCCCATCCCATTGGATCTGGACAACCTCGGCTGTTTAATCACGATTATGATGCCACCTCACCTCGGCTCAATGACACATCAGGTTCAGGTTCGATCCAAGTGTTTGCTATCTATCTTCCTTCACCTCAAGTTTCAAATTCAAGCCATGGATATCATTCATATGATCCCTACAGCTCCGGAATGTTTGTTGGTTGGCATGATTAGACGAGGATGGGATTTTGCAGAGGTGTGCGATCC